CTCCTACCTTCAGGATGGTTTTGTCTTGCCTTTTGAAATCCAGCAAATGCAGGTTGCCGATGATGGGAAGAGGCGTGGGTCCTGGTGGCAACCCCAAAGCCGCCCTCCTGCTTGGCAAATAGAAGGAAGCCAAGGCGATGAGTGCGCACAGAAGCAGGCAAACGGGTACGGGGTAGAAGAGGAAGACATTGAGCCATGCCATCCTAAAATTGATAATGAGAGAGAACGGGGTGGTGAGAGGGAGAGAGAGAGGGAGAAAGTGCTGGCAATGATCACCAACCAGTCCGTCTTCGCTTTATATTTCTGGCTGGCAATTGCCACCAATCAAAAAACACACACACACACAACCCAAGTGTGCAAAGAGTCGGAGCAAGTGCTGGGCAACCCCACCCTTTTTAAACACTTCTGGAGAATGCGGTCTAAGCAGTTCCTTGACTGGGAAGCCAGGGAGGTTTCAGGTTACAGGACTAGTCGCCTGTGGATGCAGAAATCCGCACGCCGGGGATTTATTAATTACCAGTCATTAACATTGATCTTTCATTTCGGGAAGGGCGGGGTAAACCCGATGCCTTGCCAAGTGGCCCTTGGTGGATTGCGTATCCGTGAGTGTGGGGACTTTTGCACCAGGTTTCACTTTGAAGGATCAGGCACTATCCAAGGTGCTGAAGTTATCAGGGGACCACCAGGTTCAAGTTCTGATTAAAACCCAGAGCTAATTGGGAGGCCAACATTTTGACTGAAAGCTGTACACACCTACCGTACAGTGTGTCCTAGGCTAATGGCTGTTTTACTCTAGAGGAGAGGTGTTGAGCTGCAGGGAGTCATGTGCTTTAAGGAGGCATCTTACTAGTTCTACTCTAGAGGAGAGGTGCTCAGCTGCAGGGAGTCATGTGCTTTAAGGAGGCGTCTTACCAGTTCTACTCTAGAGGAGAGGTGCTCAGCTGCAGGGAGTCATGTGCTTTAAGGAGGCGTCTTACTAGTTCTACTCTAGAGGAGAGGTGCTCAGCTGCAGGGAGTCATGTGCTTTAAGGAGGCATCTTGCTAGTTCTACTCTAGAGGAGAGGTGCTCATCAGCAGGCAGGCATGTACACTTTTAGGGCCTGCATGCTACACTCTCTCCCTCACTTTCCAAGGCAAGGAACCAAGCTCTTATTTTCTTACTCTAGAGGAGGCACTTGGCTGCAGGCAGGCACGCATGCTGGGCCTGCATGCCACACACGCACTCCCTCAAGGCAAGGAGGCACGCTCTTACTTTCTTACTCTAGAGGGTGTACTTGGCTGCAGGCAGGCATACATGCTGGGCCTGCATGCCACACACACACACACTCTTCCTAAGGCAAGGAGGCACACTCTTGCTTTCTTACTCTAGAGGAGGCACTTGGCTGCAGGCAGGCATGCACACTGGGCCTGCACACCACACACACACTCCCTCAAGGCAAGGAGGCAAGCTCTTACTTTCTTACTCCAGAGGAGGCACTTGGCTGCCACACACACACA